TATCAGTTTGATCTTGCCTGTAAACTGGCATGCCTCATGTAACAAACTGTTATTTGAGAATAAATTATTATTATTATTATTATTAATTTCTCTGAACACATCTCAGCCAAAGCATCCAAAATGCTGAAGTTGCTTGGCTTCATTCTCCGTAAATTCTATCAAAATGAATCTAAAATCCTTCTTTATAAAGTTTGTGTAAAACCTATCGTTGAATACTGCTTGTTCTTATTTTCCAACCTACGCCTATCTGATATACTAAAGGTGGAAGGAACACAACGAGACTTCACCCGAAAAATACTTATGACTGACTCAGTCACTGACTACAGTTCCCGATGCCAAATCTTCGGAATAGCACCCCTTTGGGAGAGAAGGCTTAGGTCTAATTTGATTCTCTACTTCAAACTACTCAAAAACCTTACTTATTCAACATGTAAGATAATTCTTGCCCGAGATTCACATGAATACGGACTTCGAAACAAAGTAACTACGGTCATAGTTGAGAAATACAGATCAGAAACTCGGGAAAACTTCTTCCTCACCAAGTATGCAATAATATGGAACAGTCTTCCCTCCGAAATACGCATAGCAGATGAATTACATACGTTTGTAAAACTGCTTGATCTAGCCCTCACTTGCACTGATCTAGCACGTACGAACACATCTACGCCTCACTCAGACATCATTGGCTCTCTCCATGTTTAGACCAAAATGGATTTCAAGTTCAGTTTGCCTTATTTTTCCTACTTTGCAGTTGTATTAGTTACCTTTTCCACCCTATTTCTTCACTTGAAGTAGACGGGTAACCCACTGAACCTGTCGATACTTTTCAACTAAACTCGGTCGCTAAGGGTCACTCACTACCACCCTAAAAAGTCAAGGGGACCGCACAATGAACTGCCTACTACCAGTGGTCCTGCATCTATGGAGCCTGTTACCAATCAACTGGTTAGGACAGCACAAAATAACATCAGCACGAAGTTACTGTGAGTTTCTTCCTGTTTATCTTGTATTAACGTTTTACTCTTCTGCACACTATGTTGACTAGCAATTAATATTATTTCTCCACTCGTTACCTTATCAACAACTCATATACTTCTATACTTTTTCGCCTTCTTCGATAAACAACTATCCTACATTATACCCTTCTTAATGCTTATACTCTGATTGACAAACTATACTTCATACTATAGTCAACAGAAACACTGCATCGATGCCCTACCCACAGTCAATAACTTGTAACTGCCTGATAAGCTTGTAAAGTGGTACTTATAGAAATAGTGTTTTCCAACAGGTTGTGAAACAGAGGATTGTGTGAGGTATGACATATATCCAAAGATAAGCTTAAATGAGCCTACCATCACAAAAGGGGGAGGGTGGAGTTACTGACCACCCGTGTTCGTGGGGGCAGAACATTTTGTATGTATCAGGCTCTTTATGATTGCGAATAAGTCAATCAATCTGTGATATAGATTGTCTTCCTACGCTCATCACTCGGGCATGTTTCCGATTTTGTGCTAGATTAGCTATTCTACTAAGACAACCTATAACATGCTAACTCGGACTTTTACACTAGGATTGTGTGGCTGGCATCGGATGGCCAAAAAAGAAAGGAAATAAAATATTAGACAATGAAAGATATAGTCATTAGTATTCTTAACACTTCACCCTCTATATGCACACTCCCTTCTAATAATCCGCTTTCGTTGTACCAACCTTGACTTCCCTTCCTTCATTTGAGCTTACTTCAACTTGTTCAATATCACAACTCATTGTTCTTTATTGCTTTATTCTCGAATATGGAGCCTCTGACTTCATTTCACTCTAACAAGAGATAATATGAATTTATTCTAATTTATTATACCTCTGTCTGTTCTACTACACAATGCTAAGCAAAGTTTGGCGTTCATATCCATGTGCCTTGCTGCTCTTCTGTTTCTCTTTTTCCCCCTTCAGAATCTTGCTCTGAGGGCACAGCTATGAAACTTCTGACGTATGGAACAAACTAGGCGTACGCGTCTCCTCAAGGTCATTGGTTACAGCAAGCGCTCTACGAGTCTAATTTATAACAACTATAAACTTGATAAGTTGGGAAGCATGTTCTGCATCAACAAATGTGGTAATTTATAGATCATACCTGTAAAAATGGCGTGTACCTGCGCATGCAGAAACATATTATTAATGTCAATTAATATTAACATCTAAAAACTCAATATTTTAAGATTAGGGTAAACTTAACTTTCCCTCAGGCTATGGAATATCCTAATGGGGCCACCAATGTTCAGCATTAGGACGGCTTTTTTTCTTGAGTTATATTAACGATTTTTCACAACAGGTATCATCTGACTTATTATTCTTCATTGATGAGGGAATCGTTCAGCCATGAGGGTGGACTAGCACTTCAGGAAGATCGGACTACACTTCAAGGGCGAGCAGACGACAACAGACTTAAATTTAACATTTAAAGCGTAAAGTAGTCCGTCTGAGGCATGTTGCAAACTACAACTACAACTTAGGCAACTCCCCTCTAGTGGTATCTCAAGTTTAAAAAGATCTACGTGTGTTGATACCTTTCTTTCTGAAGTGTTACGCTAACTGCTTCAAATATGCTTTATACCAAACCTTTCACTAGTAGCATTGGATCGCATTTTCGTCCAGTTTGGAGGAAAGACTTTCCACCTAATCTTTAATAGTTTTATTCGTCTCCATTTAGAGCACGGAAATATTGAATTTCCTCCCTGACCCCCAAAGGATTAGGACACTCTTGTACGTGTCACGGAATCAGTTCGATGATTCAAATTCAAACCTTATGAAGAGCGCTCTCAATCACCAAACCCTTACCCATAAGAGTACAGGCGTCTTAGAGGTGACCTTCTAATGGCGTACAGCATCTTTAACACTTCTGGACATTCCCTTAAACATCTACATAAGTTTATCTCCAACACAAACGTAAGGAGTAGCACCCAGGAACTGGAGACATGACTCAGCAGAACGGATTGTAGACACAAAGTCTACTCCTTAAGAGTTGTCAAATGCTGGAATTCACTGCCGGCCGAGCTAGTCCAAACGACTTCATATGAGTCGTTTAAGAGAAATCTTGACATATTCTTAATAATTAAGGCTTTTACCTTACAACGAATTACTAATTTCTTTATCGTTAATATACCTAAGTGATTTAGTGCTACTAGGCTCGGAAGCCCGTTAAGCGGAAGCTTCTTATATTCCGTCCACAACCACTTGAACCATTTGAAGAGTAGACGTTGTATTTTTAAGGATTCAGGGCCGGATTTCGTCATCTTTTACTAACACTTTTAAAATGACAGGTATTCGGAGTCAAACAACACTCTTAGAAGTAAAACCTTCACAATTTGAGTATGCCATCTAAGTCAAACTAAAAGTCAGAAATGAAAGGTTTCGAAGATACAGTTGAAAGGCTATTGATTTATCGGAAAGCGTTAAATCTAAGCTGACTATCGGCCGTAGGAGATGCGTAGCACGATGTACCCACTCGCTATCTGGTGCGGATGCACTACCGAGCACCGTCAGTTAGAAGGGTTTGCTAAAACCAGTGTGATCAACATCAAATGTCGAAGACAAACAAGACTATTTATTTTTGGGATTTATTTACTTTTACAACTTCTCTTTAGCCTGTTAAACATAACTAGGTCCGCACCTGACCCCATCAACGATCTACTGCTGCTATGTACGGAAGCTTGTTTAGCGAAGGCTTCTTCTCTTTCGTCTGCAACCACTTGAACCATTTTTCGAACACTCACATTGGTAATGCAACTCAAAGTAACGAAATGCGACGAAGTCTTAATAACTTCCGCAAACTTAAACAATTGTGGCATACCCAAAATTTTGCTTGATGATGATGACTGTCTGAGGAGTAGTTTGAATTTGTACTCAGCATTACGATTATAGGCCTCGGAATTTTATCTGCTACACTGTACTTGTAGCATTAGTAGTGTCCGAAAAAGATTGTAACCAAAACTTTTGTACCTTTTTGTTAACTTTGTAACATGGGAAGTTTTATTTAACAAGGACATTATAGGTTTCTCAGAGAATTAAATTTCGAGGAACTACTTACCTGTGTAACTCAAAATTAGAGTTTGAACTGTGAGTCTCGTACGTTCAGACAACCTTGACAAGGAAAAGCGCTCCTTATGGTTAGGTTTCTTGTCAATGTCGAGGTGTGATGTTGCTCCTGGTGCGAATGCTCAAGAAATGAGTGATGTGAACCAAAATTTGTCCTACAGTTTTCGGTTGGGCATTTCTAGCGACGTGGAGGTATTATATATGACCTAGAATAACGAAGGAAGTATTTTTGGCTCTAGGATACGCAAGCCTTTCGTCGAAACCAGACTTCACGATGCAGCTCTACAGGTGTGCTGTCTTTCACTAATGACGACTTACATCCTGATATCTTACTGGACCAAGGCATCGAAGTACGTTTAACTCTACGAAACATTTGGCTCTCAGGGTTTTGACTATGATCCTGTTCAGAATAAAATATTCATTAACGAAGGAGTACGAAGGGCGTCTTATGTAACATATAATACAGTTAATTACACTTTACAGGGAAGCATCTTTAGAGGAGCCTCGCTAAGGCATTTAGTACTATTCTTCATAGGCGTGTTTACTGGACTTTCTGCCTGCGTAATTGATTACGCTATTGAAAACATCTCGAAGTATAAATATAGATCAGTTTCATGGCGTATCCTTTTAATAAACAACATAGAGGCTCAGGTTACACTTCAACAAACTGTCTTCTTTCCTTAACCAGCGTAGTAATCAGTCGTTACCCACATTCTTTGTGGATTTCTGTTCCAGGATTTTTGTGGTGTGCAATCAATTCTTTCCTCACAGGTATAGCAGCTACACTAGTCGTCTTTTTAGCTGTATGTCAAGTTTCTGACCAAATATTTTTGTAGCCAGTTGCTTCTGGAAGCGGAATCCCGCAAATTAAATGTTATCTTAATGGTCTTAATGTTCCTCGTGTAATGCGATGCCTGACTATGATCGTAAAGGGTGTTGGTGTTATTTTGGCGGTGTCTGGAGGTTTGGCTGTTGGAAAAGAAGGACCTATGATACATATTGGCTCGGTGATTGCTGCAGGATTATCACAAGGGCGATTGCGGTTTTTAAAATATTCCTTGGGTTGCTTGAAGATTTTTAGAAATGACCAAGAAAAACGTGATTTTGTCAGTGCTGGTGCGGCTGCTGGAGTTGCAGCTGCTTTTGGAGCACCTGTAGGGGGTCTATTATTTGCCCTTGAAGAAGGCGCTAGTTTCGTTTATCAAAGATTAACATGGACCATAGTAAGTTATTGTTCGTTTTTGTCATGTTTTCCTACCCTCAAGTTTTGCTTGTGTCAAACTGTCTGTTCGTCATTTGGTTTTCCACTAAATATTGTAGGTGGACATTAAACCTAAAGTCATGTTTGTAATAATCGCAGCGGTTATGCTCTGAATTGTCTCAACGTTTTATGCGACACTAGGCTATTCAGAGAAGTGGTCAAGTTCATTATTTTAGGTAGATAGATTCGAAAATGGTCCTGTATTTAAAATGTCCTGTCACGTCTATGTGTTGGTTTTGTATGTATCTAAAGTGTGATTCATTCGATGCAAGTATGTTCAAAATTTGCCACATGTTGGGCCATATTAATGTACTTCGTTATTAAAACCCAATGAACAAAAAAACCTTTGTTCACGGCTGTAGTCATATCAATGTTCTGTTCATCTCAAAACTCAAAGGACATTTAGGAAAAATAGCTTGTCGGTGTTGGTTCAAAAGTAGTCGGATTTTGTGTTGTCAAGTTAATGTCAAATAACTGGACACAAATTCAAATAAAACAAGCATTTAAACAATCGAGGTTGCTCTCTCAATTCCCGTGTTACTAGAGGTTAAATCAAACCAGCTGTCGAAAACATTTTCACTTATTGATTCACCGTTACCGTCATGAAGCTAACCTCAATCCACACTATTCAACCTAGGGTCCGCCCATATGTGTAGGGCTTCATGTATTAATATTTTTTTCTCAACAAACCCTACCAAATAATTTTGGTTGGATCGAAGTCTACTTGACGCCATTTTACTATTGAATATACTGTTATCGTTGATTTGTTCCCAAGCTTTCTGTAGTCTTCTAAGAATTTAGAAGTATTTTCTAAACATTGTCTATGTCCACTTTGTTGTTTAACTAGCTGCCCGGACGTTTTGTTCAGTGTGCAGCACGACACTCATAACATTTAAATTCGTACACACGTTCTGTGTTCATCATTTGGAACCACATTCTTGACTTTCACGAAAACAGGTCTGATTGTATCACTGACACACAAATAAACCTTTAGATCTTGTTTAACATTCTTATAATTATCTTTGTTCAGTGTTTTTTTTTCAGTGAAGATTGACAATATTCATGTTGTACCGTAATACTGAAAAGTAAACATTTTTTTTATACGGTGGCGTGCTACCTGACTCAGACTACTGTACTTTGATCTCAGACCTGTGAAACAATCAGTCCAATATCATCAGGTTTCTTAGAAGGGATATTCATCACCGGAGTTATATGTCGCCTATAAATCTCTAGCACCCCGTGTTGTGATTTTAAGGCCGGCTAGTTATCACGTGATTTATCCGCCAATTGAAATACGACTTAGTATTGTGTTAAACCAATGACGTTCGACCGGTATGAGCAGCCTAGCGTCCTTATTGGTCCTTTGTTCGCCTAACCCATCCACTTGAGTCTAAAACACCAATAACAGCTCACATTATGCGAATCATTTATTTCAAACATACTTGGTTTATATACCAGCCAAACAGACCGCATTACACCATAAAATAGGAAATGACATTTATACAAAATCAAACCAAAAAGTGGCTATGAACGTGGGAGACAGTAGTCAATAAACTGAACATAACTTAAAAACAGTAAATCGTACAATAATAATTTATAGGTCGAAATGAAGCTTATAATAAGAGGAATATAGATATACATAGTCTAGCTACTGAATAGTTATACAATAACTATATATATATATATATATATATATATATAATATTAGTCCATTAATAGTTCTCGGAAGTTACTCGTAATTTAATCTTCACTAAGATACAACACTCCGATTTAACAACAGTTGTTTTCCTCGTCGCTTGAATTCGCCTACCTTTCACTTTTAAACACTTCTCTAACTTCATGTCGACTGATAACACTAAAGATACAAGCTCACTAGATGCTGTCTTATGCCTTATATAACCGTACTGCAAATTGATTGTTCGTGCTCCCATTTATCTCATATCAAATCAGACAACAGACCACTCAGGTTTATTCCAACAACCTTGAAATATGAGTAGAAATAAGAGTAATCTTACAAAGGTCTGCAAAATGAGCGTGAGGGCTAGTGAAGAATAAGCGAAAGATATGGTAAATTCATTAATATCATGTTAATTTGTGAATTAAAGTAATAACCAACTTGGCGAGAGTTAGGGCAAAAGGACCTGGCTTTAATTCTGATGTTATTTCAGGATGTTGGTCCTGCATTACCCGTTATGTTATCTACGGGGTACATTTAAAGTTGGGGGTACTTCCATCTGATCAGTTTGGGTTGTCGACCATCCCAGTATACAAAAGATACAAACTGAAGTGTTCAAGTCTGATTTTATGGTGTTTATCTGAAATTGTGGACAATCGGGCCATTGTTTATTCTGCAAAGTGAACTTTAAAATGTTAGTAGTTACCAGGTTAAGTTACCACAAACACGTTTCAGGCTGAATTTCCAAATGACAAAAGCTTTCATAAGAGCTCGCATTTACTATCTTACATGTTAATTGGTGATACATTTCATGCGTTATATAAAGCTGAGGATTTAATATTCGAAAAGGTAATAACTTTTCTTGATACTATAAGAATGTGTCCAATGGCATTACATAAATATATAGCGTCGCATATAAAAGAACATCTGGCTTTTATCTGTCACTTAGAAAAAAATGAATCATAAAATGGTGTTGAGTATTATGATTTTTTTTGTACACCCTCCTAGTGTTAGGATGTATATTTCGTGCTAGTTTATGTAGGTTGATTAGGAGTTTTATTGCAAGTTCATAATAGCATTGTACCAATAAAAATTTGCTCTTGTAGCTCTTCGCATCAATGGTTTCGATGTTTACTTTGGCTCTGTTCAAATCACTGACTCGTACCCATGTGTTCAAATTTACTCCTGGTGGTCTTGTAAGCTTCGGTACCATAGAAGTAAGTTATATCCCTTGATTTACTTAATAGTCACATTTATTTATGATATATACCGCGTAACAATCATTACTTGTCTGTTTGCCTGACTTTCTGATCATATCAAGAGAAATATTATCATTGTTATGTTTTCACTCGTATTCAGAATCGATCACATTGGCGTCGGTGTATACACTTTCTGTCTTCCCTTAAACTAAGAGATTAAAATCGCTTCATATCTTTCTTTCTACGAACTAATTCTTTCTTCCTGTACTATATCCTTATTGCAATCTTTCTTTTATATATTACCACCTCTGAATTAACTACTTTTATGAATCCGGTGTCCATCTTGTTGTGTTAATGAGGTATGGCAACTTGGACCGATGCATAAATGTGCCTGGTCCTACGTTGTAGCTGACTGACTGACTGTGTTCATTGTCTTATTAACTAAAAAAATTACTAGCCAATTCTAAGTTTTAAATCTAATGGTCAATGCACTCCATGAAGTTCTTTTTAATGAAATATTTTTGAAAGTGAATACTTGTTTCGCTCATCACAATAGAAGTGATCCATTATAGTATAGATTTATCGTTTATTATCAATCATTTCATCTTGTCCAAAAAATTGTTCTACGTATTGGATTTCGGGTCTAGAATCCGAGCAGTCACATGTTATTTTTCATTGCTTCTAAAGGTTCAAAGCTAATGTAGTTGGCTAATTATTGTTCATATTCATGTGTCATTTATACTGTGGTATTTTCTTTCCATATAACTAATGTTGTCTGTTTTTATTTGTTTTGTGCCTTCTTGGTTTAGTCATTAAACGATTACAATGCCTATGAAATTCTTATGTTTTTACTAATGGGTCTAATTGGTGGATTATCTGGAGCATTGTTTGTGAAAGCGAATTCAGTCCTAACAAGATATAGACAAAAGTAAGCAAAAATATGTAAGCAATTCATTACTTCGCTTAAAGTTGTTCAAGCATGAAAATGGCTTATAACTTTAACGTTACAACGGGTAATCCTTTTCTAGTAGGACTTTGTCACTTACTTCCAATTTTTGCAATATGACTGAAATTTCTAGCAAAATACTATCTTCAACTGTAGTAACCGTTAATAATACATAAAATTGTTCAGTGGTCATAAAAATTTTTATATTAGTTGTTCGATCCGACATTACATTTTCGTGTATATCATGTTTGGAAACATTTGGGATTGAATAATTTCCTTCCCTTTGTTTCAGGAACATTACAACAAAATATAACAAGATTATAGAAGCCATTCTGGTCAGTTCGTTAACTACCACTTTATGTTTTTCAATAATGTGGGCTGTTCGTGATTGTAGTCCATTAGCATATACTAGCAGTTCTTTCCCTCTCAAAGTACGTTTTACTCTCGTTGATTCAGTCATTAATTTATTGTTTTATTAAAGATATTCGATTGATATAAATTTGATTCTTACACATTAATATATTTTCACTATTTGTGATGGTTAAGTGGAGATCGTTTAATATTTGTTAATTCTGTGAATTCAAATCAAACCGGATGGTACTAAAACTTATGCTAATACTGGGTTATGTTACAAATTGGTTGATATTGGTTATGACAGTGTTTTGTCCAGTTGTAGTGGTTCTAGAGGTTTCACTATGAAGTTGAGCACTTTGATATACAAGGAGAAGTAAATATAAATTACTTTAGGTACTCTTTGTGTATCGAGGTTTATTTCCCTGACATTGACCTATGATAATGACCAGGCGTAGTTATTGTTAATTAGCTCTTATTAATTCTTACTTTTAAAATCCATTCCATGAAAATAGTTCAGATTGTATATTTGTCTTAAGGTCTCTATCGTACAAGGTAATTAAACAATCGTATTTCTTTTATCAGAATTTGTTATAATGGGGATAGTTACTGTATTAAATTTATTCAGCCTTTTACAGATGATGATATAACTACGGAACACCCTTCTGTCCACATATACTGCACATTCAAGATTTCTATGAATTACTAAGCATACGCGTCCGTCTAGTGTTTCAGAAGTTTCTTCCATGTCCTCATACCCAAGGACGACAATCTATCAAAGTATCAATGATACTTTTTTGCACGAAGCACTAGATAAAATGCAACACTGGTTGACTAAAATAATTATTCACATTCATACTGTTAGACTAGAGGGTTTGATTTATGTGAGAAACAAGTGGCAGGAGGTATAAACATTTACTATTTATCAAAATGTTCTGACCAATCGTAGCTAAGATTCATTCAGGGATTAATTTTACTACCAACTAAGTGATCCTAACTAAGGATGAAAAACGGTTATCGCGGTAATAACTGTGGCTTGAACACATGTTAAGATTCTAGAGTCAACAAAGTCATTTATATGATCATCCGACTTCACACTAACGGTGTTGCCGCCAAACTGATGTTACTCGACTTAATGAGACATAGAAAACTAATTCTTAGATGGAAGTTTATTTCACACCCAAACACTAGGTTAACTATATTACAGCTTAGTTTTTGAGCATTGACAATGCACTGACAAATCCAAATCAAACTACCATGAACAATTTTGTTATAAGTAATAATTTCATATCACAATATTACATGTTTTCGCTTGGCGTTTATTTATAAGTCTAGAAAATATGATTACTACCATATTTGCTATTAGTTAAAATTGTAAACACATCAACACTCAATAAATTCTATTTTTCGACATATTAATTTCTTGACTAATCATATGAGGTTCATTAATTTTCCCTATATATTTTCCGTATAAAACAGATGATGTGTGCGGACAACGAGTTTAATTCAATTTCCTCACTGTTATTTTCAACACCTGAACGTTCTCTCCGAACTCTGCTTCACGATCCTCCAATGACATACAGTATTTCAGTGTTAACCATATTTGTACTCGTATACTATTTCTTGGCCTGCATTACATATGGTTTGTCTGTTCCTGCTGGTCTATTCATACCATCTTTGTTGATTGGTGCTGGCTGGGGTCGAATCATAGGTTAGTGGTTATTTCATAAATTTCTACTTTATACATGAAATTGATACAACTAGTACATCACCTATAAAGTATATCCCACCGTGTCCTTGACATATGGAAAGATTTTTTACTAGGAAGTAATAAGCAAGGTAAAGCATATTTTAAATCCCGAAACGAACCATACTGTGTAAACAGTTAACGCACCATAGTATGGGGGAGGGTAGCACGTATATGATGTACTCTTGTAAACCATATCCATTTAAGCTAATGATTATAACTGTTCCTAAGATTCTAATATACTAAGTTAATACTATATTGTTTTGGGAATGCACTGTGTCAGCAAAACGCTTTAATCATTTCATTTTGAACAACTCATGAGATCATTTTGTTGTTTTACGCTTGGATAATACAACCGAGCATATACTATTGACATGAGAATGGATTTAACCTTATTTATAGGTCAAGTGACGGCGCTTCAATGATGACATAACCGTGCTTAACTAAAAAAGCGATTTAAAGCAATTAGTCCCTTTGATAAATTTCGGTAGTGTAATAAGATGAAACTTATCAGAACTATGTGATATATTAGCGCAATACTTTTCGAACAATCTGATCACATATATACTTGTTAAGAACATTTCTATATAGAAATAAAAGATCGAATTCGAATCAAATTTGTTAACCTGAATTAATTAGTTTTTATTAATTATTTTACTGTACAAACTAGTAGTTCTTTTTATCCATTTCTATAATTATTTTAGGACATTTAATGCATACTATTGATCCAGTTCATTTCTCCGATCCCGGTAAATTCGCACTGATTGGAGCTGCTGCACAATTAGGTGGTATTGTTCGAACGACATTAAGTTTAACAGTTATTCTAATGGAGGCAACAGGAAACGTAATTGTTGGATTACCTTTGTTAATGACTTTGACTGTTGCTAAATATATGGGTGATTGTTTAAGCGAAGTAAGTTGTAAAGCTTTTCTATAAATTGATCGATTTGTAGTCGTAGTCCAGTATTATTTTTTATTATTTTAATCGGGTCGTTTTTGTGTTGACTTTCAACTTATTACAGGGGATTTATGATGAACATATTGGATTGAATAGTATGGCTTTACTTCCGTGGACACCGCATTCACTATCTATAACTAAGAGAGCTTATGACCTGATGTCTAATCCAGTCGTGTTTTTATATCCTATTATGCGTGTTAGTGAATTAGTTGAACGGGTTACAAATAATTTACATCATGGATTTCCAGTTGTAGTGGGTTCCACAGATTCGTCAAGATTTTCATATGGTACTTTAGTTGGGATGATTTCTTCGGAGCATTTAGCATTACTGTTGCAAAAACGGGTATGTTACCTTTTCTTGTGATTTTATTTTTCTATTATCAAAGTTACCTTGGTTATTGTTGTTTTTGTTCGTTCGAGTTATTGATTTAAGTTGGCGTGGAATATAATCCAGAATCAATATGATACAACAACTTTTATTAACCTTTTTAAGGCGTCTTATTTTCCGTCCATCAAAGGTTTTATTCGCGGAAGCCAATTGTTTGTTGTTCTTGTTTGAAGCTTGTAACAATTTAGTCAGACAGATAGGACAATATCTTTAATAAACTAAGGGTTCACATTCGCTTTACCTTACAATGTCACTGAAAGAGAAATGCTTCTAAATTTAATATTACATAGAATCTTAAAGTTCTGACGAAAACCTCATTTTCACATTATTAGATTAATGAAAAGTGTTTACATCATTTGTTGGGGATTAGTGGGAGAAGTGCACGGACTTTTTGGAGACTAGGAGATAGGTTCTTAAATCACCATGTACAAAACACTAGTAATTTTCTAAAGAGAGATTCTATCAGCCTTGTGGGTTGCTAAGTCATTTCAGCCAATGTTTTCTTAAAATATACTTTCGTACATCCAAATGTTAGTAATTTGAAGTCCTATTCACTACTTTCTCGTCATCGGGGTGTTGTTTACGAAGTTAAGAGAACGGAAACTCAATACCCAAAACTTGGACCGGGTTGGTGGATATGGAATATCCATCTAGAGTTATTGGTTGCAAAACCATGATTACAAAACAATAGTGCACATTGGCTCCAGGATCCCGACGGAACAAGTGGAGTACCAATCTATTGTCAGTCACTGGTTACCATGAAACTGCATCTCCTAACGTTGCTCCACTGTCTTGTAGATTAGACCTTCAGGTCAAAAGTTCGAGAAGTGGCCTCCTAATATGATCACCTGCTTCGGTTTGATTTCCCATGTAGTGTTCCAGTCCTCACACGAATTGAATTACGAAATGTGGTGCATATAAATTTGGGGCCCCCTTGTATCAATGGTTATGTGTTTAAATAAATAAATGTTACTGAATGAACCTGTATGCTACTACCGAACCGTATTTTCTCACCAGTTTATCTATCAAACTCCAACTAATAACACACTTCATCACTCAATTTCTGTGAAGGCTGGATACTGCCCGGGCGACCAAACCAAAGTTGGTGGTCTGCTTAGGGGGCTACACCCCGAGTCTTTGACCTGAAGGTCTAATCTACAAGACAGTGGAGCAACGTTAGGAGATGCAGTTTCATGGTAACCAGTGACTGACAATAGATTGGTACTCCACTTGTTCCGTCGGGATCCTGGAGCCAATGTGCACTATTGTTTTGTAATCATGGTTTTGCAACCAATAACTCTAGATGGATATTCCATATCCACCAACCCGGTCCAAGTTTTGGGTATTGAGTTTCCGTTCTCTTGACTTCGCAAAGAACCTCCCTGCTGCGAGGTGTGAGTAGGATTTCCTTGTGAGTGGTTGTATACTGGTGGCCATATAAAATTTTTTGTAGATGGAGGACGGTTTTTCCTCACCTTTGTCCGTACCAGTGCATTCAGGGACTCATTCAGTAGACTTTGAGCTACTTTATTTGTTAGTGTGACTGAATACGCTCTTACTACTAAAACTAAGGCGAGTTTTCGAATTTCATATCAAATTACTTAGATAATTGTTTAAATATATAAGCCACAGTTTCATAACTTGGTAAGTTTTCTAATGCATATTTTTCTGAATACAAAATATCACAATTTTTTTAGTAAATTCATTTGATTTTCTTTAACTCACAACTTTCGTGTATTTAGGCATTTTTATCTAAAGATGGTAATATCGTATATTCATTGACCTATAAAGATTATGATGATGCTTATCCATCCTATCCAAAGTTAGGTGTAAGTCAACATATTTTAAAATTTAATTCTTTTTAATGAGATTGTCTATTTTGTTTATTGAATGTGATCAAAGTCTCAGAGTATGTTCATGCATTTAAATGATTTAGTTTATGATAGTTTGATTGTTGTTCTATGGAAATGAACGTATTTATTTGGTTCATCGGAATCAGTTTAATTTCAAGATAGCTTCTTTTTGGAGAATCATCTTAAAACTGGATTCATTCGATGGATGTTTTGCTTTAGACTGTGTCAATGTTCGGAGATATAGGCCATTAGATGAAAATTCATTAGTGTATAGATATCGTTGGACATAAAGGTTTCAAAACTGGCCGTTTGTGTTGTCATGAATCCTCACAACTGATTAGTTCGAGACTAGGATAAAACGACTTTTCAATGCTGCATATTTTTCAGTGACCCTCCGCTAGATCTGAGCCCCCAAATGCCCTTGTACGGTCGAGAGTGGGGAGAGTTAAGAGGATCGTTGTTTACGAAATTGAGAGGACGAAAGGCGAATGTCCGGCGCTTTAACCCGCTTGGTGGATATGGAGGATACACCTAGGAGAGTTAGTTGGAAAACCCTGATTACAAAACAATGGTGCAGATGGGCTCCATGATCCCGACGGAACAAACGGAGTATGGACCAGTTATTGGTCACCGGCTACCATGTGTCTGCGTCTCCTAACGTTGCTCGACTGCCTTGTGGATCAGACCTTTAGGTCAAAGGCTCCGGATGTGGCCCCCCCAAGAAAACCACCCGCTTCGGTTTGGGCACCCGAGCAGTATCTCAGTTTTCACACACATCAAATGACGAGATGTGACATATATATTTGGTGCCTCGTTGTACCAATGTTTATGTGTTTAAATAAATAAATAATAAATAAGATCCGAGGAAAATACTACTACAATTCAAGGATATGTTAGGTGTTTCATATTATTTTCCGGTTCTCAGATCACAGATGACATCGGTCGGTCTTAATGTTCGTTTGACAATCTTCAGCCTGCCTTGCGTGAATCAAACAGTTTTTATCACTTTTTTAGGTATTTCAAAACTTCGGGGAATTAGTACGATTTCATGCACATTTTTTGAGGCCATTGACCATATTTGCATCTATCCTCATTTTATTTGAAATAATAAATGCTACTCCACTTTTAAAAACTACGAAGTTCCATTTCTAAAGTAGGGTAATAATTGATGATAAAGTAATTGCTGCCGAACATAATTTTGGACAAGTCTATCACACTTATATAGCTATTCGACAACCGATCTCTCTCGTAACCATTACTACACAAAATATTGGTAATGAATGCCTTCCACTGTGCTCACTTTCATTCATTGTTGTTTGTTGGCTTAGTAGTATAAAGGGAACCTCACAATTGCATAAGTAAAATAATATTCATACTGAAAGTCACTAACCATTGATTTTGATGTAGTGCATAATGTATGGTAGTTTCATGAATCTCCAACTTTCTCTATAGGAAGTGACATTACCTCTCTGCACAGATCCAATTAGATTAAGTTTCCTTAAATTCTCAATCTCGTAGATGAAATGTAAGTCACTATCGTTAAGCTGAAACCTTGCTGAAATAGAATTCTCTAGGTCAGTAACTGATTGAACTTCATATACCCTCGGTTTCAAACTGTACATTTTTATTGATCATTGTTGATGCTACTCGACTGTTTAGAATGAATTTGGTTGAACAAGTTTGGGACCGGTGTGTAAAAGCTTTAACCTCTAACCATTGTTTTACTACTGAATTCAAAATATCTCGCTCTTTTAACATTGTTTAAATATCTTAGATCGTGTAAATAATAAGAAAATGCAAAAATATCAACAACAATATACACGTTTTAAATTTTTTTTAAACTGTGAGGCTTGTTCAAAATCCTGATGTTCTACGTCGGATTTTTGTGTCTTCTTTTTGATTTACCTAGGATGTTTTAGCTAATTTGTCATGTGATGATATGGACGCCTACTTAGACTTGAGGCCATACATGTGTGAAGCGCCATACAGTGTCCCAGAGGTAAATATTTTTTCTTCTAAAAAAGTAATTGTGAAATCTCATCTTCCTGTAAACATTTTGATTAAAATTGTCCACATGTTTTTTGTAAGATGATGAAGTGTTGTGTTCCACTACGAAAATGTACAATGTTCTCTTAGTTTGTGTGAGATCACAATTTTAATTAAAAGTATTCACATTATCACTGTAAATAGACTTCGCTACAAAATGAGCCTTATCCGTAGGCTAAAAGTCTAGTCAATCAAACCTTGAGCATTATAAACAATGGATTTTGGTTCCCACATGGATTATTTTAGCCTCTGGACAAACCAATTTGTTTGTTCTCCAGTCACATTTTGACCTTGTTAACCTTGACTGTTTTTATATGAGGGTATTCATGTATCGCCTACCCTATTCATCACATGTCTTTAAATACCTTTACGCTTTATCAGATGGTGTTGCCACACTTGCCTTCACTTTGCTTTCCAGCTTTCCGTTCTGAATGTCTGTCTGTGTAAGTGAGTGCCTGAAATAAATCCGTTCAACTTAACAGTTAACTGGCTTCTTATTACTGCCGTCTCACAAGCGTGGTTAATTTAAGTGTACTATAGGGTATTAAATTGATGCATATTCATTCGTTCTTTAAATTAGAGTCAGATCAGCGGACCACTAAAAATATTTGATATCAAGCTTTCTTCATTTGATCATGTAGATAAATTATGTTGACGAATTTCAATCACGTATAGGTAATAATTATTTCTCCTATAATTTGGAAGATTTTTCTTTTATGCTTGCGTTAGGAATAAACTTTGCGTTCTCTGAGCTTTGATATTTTCGATCATACATGTGGATAAGGCTGATGACCTCATCTACGTCTGCTTTTTTATTGTTTAGAATGGCGTATGTTTGAACACGGGACACGGAGCTGTAATGTTCGAAGATTGTCATTTTTAAATAATAACTTTGAGTCATGTTTAACTAAAGTAAACTCAAAAAGGATTTTTCAAACCGAAATTTCGGAAGTTTCAAACTGCACGATAATTCAGTTTTGGCACATTAAAAGTCGCTTCCTAGTGATCCCTTTTTAACTTTACACCAAATCACTCTGTAAATGATAGTGGATCCCTATTGTGTCATCATCAGTAGTAAAAGAAAAGGTATTCCTTAGTGTTCGTTTGTCCCATTTGTAGTGTTTGAGGTACTGAATAATACAGAAGATAATGAGTATCTGGTTTATAATTCATTGAAAGTTGGCGAATAAATCACACAATAGTTGTATCGTGTATAATAAGCAAACTGTTTGTAAAGTACAGATGAATGGAGCTATTTTGATGAGAAATTCGATTTATGATTTTATAGTATTAAAAGAATTACTTACAGTGACTTTTTGTCTGTTTTGTCTGTCTTTTATTTCAATATCTGAATAGAAATTAAATTCTGAGTAGTGATTATAATCAATTAAATGTGGTCTAACATAATATATGGTAAAAGTGTATTTTTCAAAAATTGGCACTGTATTTTTCATGATCATAGCTATCTGTTTCTTGTGACTTTCCACCTCACCCTTATAAGTAATGCAGAATGATAATTATTAACATCTTTGTATAATTTCTAATATTATTTCATTAATTGCATGGTTTTTGTCAATCAAATGTGATGGTGACGTACTCACTTTATACTTAGCAATAAGTTTTTAATCCTGCGTAATTATTCACGTAATTCCCATGTGGTGGATATGTCTTTAAGTTTAAATACGATTTGTTAGTTGACTAGGATTTCCTCTTTGTTTAGTATATAATAAATTGTATTGTTTTTAAAGTAATTTGTGTGTAGACTTCAGAATACCTCGGTGTTGGATATCGGGAGTTGTTAAGATAAGTAATCAATGATTGATTAAGAATATGATTTGGAAACATAATGTGATAATATTTTCATTTAGTTTTGTCAGTGTTGTGGCGGTATTTGAAGAATAAGTTATTATAGTTGTCATTTTACAGTTAAGATGCTAACTATTTCCAAATCCCTATAAGCAATCCCGCAGTATATTGGTTCCTGTGAGAATTTCAACCGATCATTGGATCTTTTGATTAAAGATGATTGTTTTCAATTATTAAGATTTTTATTTTAAGACTGAGTACATCAAATTCATAAGAGACTTGCTTGCATTGAATAAATGTAAGCTACTACTTTTTCCTGAGTTTTTGTATGTCATTCCTTTTTTATCAGAAACTGTTATGTCCTTATGTCCGATTAATTATATCGCGTGATATGACCTCCGATTGGAGACATCGACCAGACTAATGACAAATAAATCAGTTCGATCAGTTCAGCGTCAATGCTGAGTTTTAATTGGACCACCGAGATGGTAGCTTCTCTCTTAACTTAGCCGGTTTATTTTAGAACACTAATATCAGCCTCCGTTATACGAATCATACATTTCAGACATACTGGGTTTATACTCAAACAAACCAGATCTCATCATACCATAAAAAAGAAAATAACAATTATACATGATCAGGCCAAAAATTGGCTGTGTTTGTGAGAGACTGTTACTAATAAATTGGGAATGTCTTGAGAATAGTATATCGTATAATAATAGTCAATAGATCAAATAAGAGCTTATGATAAAAGGAATATAAATACACATATAATATTAGTCCATAAATAATTCCTATCGGTTACCATTCATTTATTCTTCGTCCTCATCCAACAGAAACTGTCTGTTTTCTATTTTAAAAAATTAACAATAACACCTTGAACACTGTTCTTAAACTAGTATTTTAACAAAATTATTACGTTTACTCTGATTGATATCTTTATATTCGACAACCATAATTCACAGTCAGAATAACAAAGTATTCATATGACTTTTATGTTTTTCTACTTCAAAATCTGTTGAATAATTCATGTTGATGAATGATGAACGTCCTGGTCTTTCATTGTTATATTTATTCAACGGAATTTATCTTATTATGTCATATTGCTCAATAATCATCTAATTTCTACTACAATTTTACCACGTGAAACATTATCTTCTTTTATTTTAGACTATGACAATGACTCGTGTTTACCATCTTTTCCGTTTATTGGGTCTCCGGCATCTACCGGTTGTTGATAGTCAAAATCAAGTATATTACTAATGTTCTGCTTTTTTTTGCTTTGTGTATATATTGAAATCGTACTTATAATTACAGTTTGACAATGTCATGAATATGTGTATGTGATTTTATTGAATAGTTATTTTTGTGACAAATGACTGACAAGGTTATAAAAACGTGTTTTGTCTATGTCGTCTCTGTTGTGCCCACCGTCCTACTGTTCATACATGGAAACGGTAACCACTGTAATTCCCAAGAAGCACGAAAGAATCCGAAAGACTTGTAAAAATGAGGATTTATTGGCTCTCCAGAATCACCTCGTCATTAGACCAAAGCGCACTCATTTCTATAATAATTTCTTCACAATAATATAACATATGGGGGAATATTAATAGAGTTACTGGAAAATATAGTGAATATAGTTCACTTGAATTAATATAGGGAATATAAATATCTCACTGAATGAAGGTTCACATGTGTCATGTTGAAGTAAGTTTATACTGGATTAATGACAACAAGATTGAAATAAATTGATGTCATCTTTCTGTCCCGCCACATTAAACAAAGGAAACTAGCCTAACATGAATCTTGTCAGTTCAAAGTGCCTTATGTTTTAGTGACTAAATTCTGCGGAAGAAAATCAATAGTATGGGATAAAATCATCCAACATTAACTACATAAAATGTTCTGACTGTCGATTTTCCCAGTCAATGGATCGTTACTAATCAAATCTTTATTAAATTATGTTACCGGAATTTTGAAAACACTAAGTTCTCTTGTTTCGAAGATAATCATACTGATAGTTCCCTGCGAAGCTCAGATCACTAGTGGATAATTTGGTAATCTTCTGATTTTGGTTTTATCCATTCACTAACTCTTTTACATGTACCAGACTACGGCTTACAACAATCGTATACAGTTACTAAATAAAACTATCACGAAAAGTCCAAATCTATTTGATGTAATTTTTAACAGCAACTGCTCAGAAAATGTCTAAGTATGTTCATTGTTCTAAATTATGTGATCTTAGTTAACAAATAATGTGGATCTTTACATAGCTGGAAAACTGTTTAAGCATTTTAACTGATTTCGGTTCGTGGTGAAAACCCCAAATCTAATTCCTATTCCTAACCACCAACTGCAAATCATAATTGCATTTCCTCATATTGGTCTACAGTTCTCATTTAGTTCTAGTTAGTAGGTGAACATTCTCAAGGTCACTAAAACGTCTCTCAAAGGTTGTCCATAAATTATAGTCTCGTAGGTATCATTACCAAGGTTTGATTTGATAATTTCGAATAAATTGAGTAGATTGTTATAAATAAAATAATATATTTGTAATATCCCAATGAGTAGAAAAATTAGATTTTCTGACATTTCGTGACTTAGTGTAAACCACTTCTTCAGAGAATAAATAAATAACCAAATTAAAATTAATCCAAGCTTAAATAGTATAACGGAACAATAGGACTGTGAAGAAGTGGCTTACACTAAGTCACGAGACGTAAGAAAATCTAATTTTTCTACTCATTGGGATATTACAAATATATTAATTTATTTATAGTCTCACCGATATTGTTAAGGTATAACTGTCACATTTATTATTTATAAATGAACTTAAACTTACTTTGATAAATTTATTAATTTCTACTTTATTTTCAGGTTCGTGGAATCATTACTCGGAAAGATTTAAGACGTTTCAAATTCGAATTTGTTAGTGGTGAATATCGTGTAGAAGAGTTGATTTTTTCACGTAAAATGTGATCACTACTTAAGATCTTTTCCCGTTTTCTTTTTTATTTTAAAAAAACAAACAAATAAATAAACATGATTTTAATTATTTTTTTTTGGATCAGTTATCAACATTGTATATTTATGCTCATCATCAGTATTAACTAAGCGGTTCTGATTCTATATTATTGTGAATAAAACATTTATTGGATTCACTGACTGACTAATAATAATAATAATAATAATAATAATAATAATAATAATAATAATAATAACAATTATCATCATTATTATTATTATTATTATTATTATTATTATTATTATTATTTTCACGTTATTTACTTTTGTATGTTTACCTAATGGATATTATCCTATTATTATTTTGTTTACGGTGATTTATTCATGAATTTTTAATTTTATTATTACTAGCCATTTCTTTTGTATAAATGTATACTTTCAAATTAATGTAATGAATTATTATATCGTTTATATATTCCCCTCCGAGCACTACCATATTAATACTGAAATCACGAATGTAAAATTATGTATACATATTAAGTAAATAAATTTTATGATTATTATTTTTTTAACGGTGTTAATATCTTTAGAAATTTTCAGGTTGGGTTTGAATGAATTCAATGAACTTTGAATCAATTTACTAAGAACATAAAAAACAGATTATATAAGAACCATTATTTTTCAAAATCCAATTACGAAAAACACTCAAAAGTTCAGGCTGAGTTTAGAAAGTTATTGAATGATTATTTTTGTGTGTGAAGAGAATCCATGATCAGTGAGTAGGATTTCATTGTGAGTGGCCCTATACTGGTGGCCATGTGAGAGTATTCGTAGATGGAGGACAGACGTTCCTCACCCTCATCCATTTCAGGGAACTTGCTTGTCGAAAGTAAGTATAAATTGGCTCTCGTAGGTATTAAATCCCTGATTCTTTTTAAATATCATTTGCATTTTGGCGAACTATTAATTCAACAAGTAATTTCGAATGACTCAATTGATAGATTCGATTGGTATATTAAACAGCATTATCGGGTTAAATGCTTGACATATTACATTATCAACTGTATTAATATTTAATGAGAAATATAGTTGTTAAAAACTTGATAAAGTTATCAGTTGCATGGGTTTCTCATTTTTCTCACTCTTTATATTCAATGTTCAATTAGTTCACTATGTATACGGGCCTCCTGAATAAATTCCTCATTATCACTTGTATATAATGTTTGACTATCGTGATGTAGTCGTCTAGTGGACAACTTTCTAGTGTTTAAGGTAATAAGTACTAGATTAACATCACGGTGTGAGTATCAAATCTATGATATAAGTACACTCAACTGACAAGTCATAAATAAGACAAAAAGTTTATATTAAATCCTACCAGTATTATCTTATCTTATTATTATCCTATCAATATTATCTTTACAAAACAGTTAGTGTGGAAATTTTTTCTCTTTTATGTCTAATGTGTATAATTATGTTGAAAATCCTAGACTAATCTCCAAATTGTGCTACTCTCTAGTTATATCTCTGCAATCATCCCAAGATTCACATATATCAGTAGTGATTGATCAATTTCAATGAGCTATGGGGAAAAAATACAAATATTTTACACAGTGTTTCATTTCTAGTAGATCATGCAGAAATATGTAATAATACTGATTATTGACCTTGTCATATTAAATAATTGACTATGTTATTAAAATAACTATTGTGACATGGTATATATATATATATATATATGCTTAGGTAGATTATGTCAGTAATAGCAAAACTACTAACAGCACTTGACAACTTGTAAAATCTAATTTTGTTTATTATTGTGACATAACGAAGGTCATATATACATAAACTATGAATTTATTAGATTTTCTACAATCATTCATTGTCTGTTATTTATAAATTACAGAATAATATTTGACAACATGTGCTGTTATTAGGGTTATAAAAATATATACGCTATTGAATAGTTTGTTACAATTTGAGTGGGGTTGGTTACAATTTAAGGGTTGAAGTTGAGATATGATTACAGATAAGTATGTAGAAATAACATAAATTATTCACAAATTTCAAAGGTTATGATTTATTTTATAGATGCTTCATTATAATTACTGCTATTGGCCCATGTGAACAAGGGTTAGATACTATTCACCCGGAAAAAGATGACCAAGGAACACATTGCTCCGAGAATTGGAGGCAGACATCAAATTGATGAATAGCGACTAGAAATTATTGCTTAGGACAGATTTGGATGGAGGATGCTAGTGGGTGGCCTATGCTCCTCCACGAGAGGTAACAGGCATAAGCATGTAATCATATTAGAGAATTAAAAAAAATACTTTTACCAATTGTATCATATTCTGAGAGCTTTCGGAGTGTAATTGTGTCACGTATTGAATTGCGTTCGAATCCAGTGAGTGGGGTCGTGGATGCGCACTGTTGAGGAGTCCAACAATAGGACGGAACGGCTGTCCAGGTTTTCGATGGTAATCTGACATCAATTGGTTCATGATCTCAATCAAAAAAATTCATATTTGTTGCATATGGATTCTGTAGACGTTCTGGATTAATTTAGTTTATTATGATGAAAAGAATGTATTTCATGCCTGAATGTGTTTATTTAATAAAAACGTATAACGAATTGTTTAAAATATTTCATCTCACTCTCGTATAATACGTTAATACAATAATAAGTCTAAACAGGTTACATCTAAACCAGGATTAACGGCTCAGAATAGAGAAGCAGATTAACATTATTATTCTTGCATTGTTCCGTTGTGCTATTTAAACTTGGATTAATTTTAATTTGGTTATTTATTCTATGATGAAGTGACTTACACTAAGTCACGAAACGTCAGAAAACCTAATTTTCTACTCATTGGGATATTACAAATATATTATTTTTATTTTAACATTAGATAATCCAATGAAGTTACAAGCAGTCAAACTCAGTGTATCCGAAGTAGAAATCGATTATTTTAATAGTCAGTAAGCTGCGGTTGATTTGTTCACGCTTAATGAACATTCATATTGTACTTCCACTACTACACACAAACTAAATCTAAGTATATATAGAGAATGCATAAGACTCAGATAACGGATGTGTAGTTACCTGTCATAGTTTGGATAGTGAGTAATGATATAAGTTTTGTACTGTTTTAATTGATAAACTGAGTTAGGTTTCTTGCAAGTGTCGCACACTCACAGTTCAGTGTGTTACCAATAACCTCTAATGCTAATACCTATATTGGTAGTAATAGGCATTATTTCTGTTTGGTGGGTATGATACTTTTAAATATTAATTATGGGTCATGATCTACTGCTGTTCGTATTTATCGTTTAAACTAATCAATCCCTGTTGATATATGTGATAATTAAATGGATTCCTTGATATTCTCTGTTTTTATAATCTGATTATGTGTTTAGATAGTGGCTAGTAGTGTGATCCATAATTCCAATTTTCGGTATCACCATTGATATGGGAGTATATCAAACTCGCCATAGGACGAAATCCGTAGGTGATTTCTAGACGTTTGTTTACAAAATCCTCATACTAACGGAGATCAGTCAAATTCAGTCTTAAATCTTACAAATAAATACATACAACAAATAATGAATTATTCATTTTCTTATCAGTCATGACTGTCTGTGATTTAGGCAAGATATCTCTCATTGTTGTTGTAATCACAGTCAGATAGATGAATAACAGCTGAGAACAGGTTGATAAATATTTCATAAAATATCCATTCAATTTATAATACACCGGTTGATAAAGATTAATTCGTCAAATTAGATAAATTCGATGATTTGGTTTCCTGAGTTGAATTTTTTTGGCTACACATTTGGTAACGTCGATATCAAATGGCAGAGATTCCCAGTGAGTAATCAGATCATTATTAGCCGAATGATGAACAAATATCCAGTTCAACGCCAATTATGTTTAGCAAAATATTTCATTGACGTGAAAAAGAAATATGTGTACAGAATATTAATGAGACAAATCAAACAGTTCGAATGGAACATATGGTTTAAAGAATATTGGTTAGTTGATTAGTTACATAACAAAAATAATTATTAACTGGTAGATAAAATTGATGAATTATATATCTGATTACAAAAAATTTAAAAACTGTCATTAAAATTTACTTTAAACATCAGTTTTCCATTAGTAACTGTTTTTTTCACTAGTGTTTTTGGATAATTGACATCACTAGTTTGTTTGTTTGAAAGTAGTTTTCATCAGTAACGGACAGGAATTGAAGAAAAAATACTGTCGGGAGCATTGGACAGAAAATGTTTATCAATGTACATTAATAACGTAACACAGAATAAAAATCTGAACATTCAGGTATCATGGCAACTGCAATTTCAACCACCTACTAAATGAAAATTGAATGATTTGCATTTTCAGACTTAATCAATTTGTAATTTAGCACATTTTGTTGTTGTTGACATAATTAACAAATTATTGTCATCAACTTTTGACTTAGATAATAACTTTACATATTATGTGTTATATCTTGTATCCTTATGCCCCATTAATATATAACGTAATGATACTGCCAATTAGAGAACAGTGATTTATCGACCGGAACAATAACACATAAAACAATCTAGAGTCCTTATCGGTCCTGCTACCTGCCTAGCTCTGCCTGTTAAGTCCAGAACACTAATATCAGCCTCCGAGATATGAATCATGTATTTTAAACATACTTGGTTTATATACAAACCAAACAGACCATATCGTACCATAAAATAAAAAAAATAACATATGTACAAATTTAGCCAAACGTGGCTGTGAATGTGGGAGATAGTAATTCATAGACTGGGCAGAACTCAATAATGGTAAATTGTATATTAATAGTTCATAGTTCAAAATAAAGCTTATGATAAGAGGCACACGAATATGTATAGTTTAGTGGATATATATATATATATATATATAGTATTAGTCTACAAATAGTTCTCAAAAGTTACCATTCATAATTCTCATCGGGATATAACATTACGTTTTCTCAATTTCTTAGAGAAATGTAATTCGAAGTTCATCTCCTGTAGGTAAATAATTATTATAAATGTTAAGTTGGTATGTCAATTCACAATAGTTTACGAAACAAAAATGTAGGTACTTTTAAACTGTACAAAGTCCGCAGTAATTAAAATGGTATATTTATTTTGGTATTTAAAGTTTGATTTAACATTACAATGATAATGTACATGTTTATTAAAATAATATGGTATTCGAATATTCTGCTGAGAAAAGTAAATTCTCAAAACAATAATACTGAATAAATTATCTATGATAAATATCTTTTTATCATTACTTCTGAAGAAGGAAAAAGTGGACTGAAATGTTAGGACTCAAAAGTTAAGTGGATAACACAATGGCGTTTAATGCGAACGGTACTGGGTTCGATTCACGGAGTGAACATCAACGTTTTGATGAAGGTACATCCAACTGACAAGTCCAAATAGGACTGAAATGTTATTTAAAATAATGAAAGTTTGAATAAATCTAATCAATAATCAACACATTACTAATTATCCTTGATATAAACCAGAGTTTTATGATAAAATGTAGCATTAATTTTATAATAATTGAATGTATAAGATGTTCTATGTTATGGTAACGATTCATGCTAGTATATTAGGTTAACCTTAAAAATTATTCACTTGATATTGTTTTACTTGAATCTTCCCATTGATGTTTTTGGACTGAAATTGATCAGTCTCTTATTGGCATATGTGCATACTGTGCGTATGCTTCGATATTGCCTTAATTTACAAGCATTATCTTTGCTTATAATCCTTGTAAATTGAAGCAATATCGAGGCATACGCACAGTATGCACATATGCCAATAAGAGACTGATCAATTTCAGTCCAAAAACATCAATGGGAAGATTCAAGTAAAACAATATCAAGTGAATTAAACTTCAACCCATTGCACAAGCAAGTGGCTATCAGGACCCAGTAGCTAAGTGGATAACGCGATGGCGTTTGAAGCGAACGGTACTGAGTTCGAGTCCCAGAGTGAACATCAACTCTGAGATGCAGGTACATCTAGCTGACGAGTCCCGAACAGGACGAAACGTGCGTCCTGGATTCCACTGCTAGCCACTATCCATCTTTGGTTAAAAATTATTACTTAGATACCAGTTAAATGAGAGTTTTAAAATTATTTATATTTTAATAAATTAATTACTCAGTTCAAAGTTCATGTTACAAATTCAAATAATTCAAAATTAGATTGATGGAAAATATGATTGTTTAAACATCCGATATATAAATAAATTTATCTGTCAATTAATCTTGTTGTTTTAAGTGATTTCATTACTGACTATTCGTCATCATTATTTCATAGTCTAAAGTTTATGTAAAGATAGATCAATTCTTCTTATTATTATTGTTATTTAAACACACAAACATTGGTAAAACGAGGCACCAAATATATATGTGCCATATTTTGTGATTTGATTTGTGTGAAAACTGAGATACTGCTCGGATGCCCAAACCGAAGCAAGTGGTCTGCTTAGTCTTTTCTTACAAACATAAATTGTTAGTACATTTATTTTTATTTATTTATTTTAACACATAAATATTGGTACAAGAGGGCACCAAATTCATATGCGCCACACTTTGTGTAAAGGCCGTAATACTGCCCGGGTACCCAGACCGAAGCAGGTGGTTTTCTTAGAGGGCCACACCCGGAGTCTTTTGTCCTAAAGGTCTGATCCACAAGGCAGTCGAGCAACGTTAGGAGACGCAGACACATGGTAGTCGGTGACCAATAATTGGTCCGTACTCCGTTTGTTCCGTCGGGATCCTGGAGTCCATCTGCAACATTGTTTTGTAACTCTCCTAGGTGTATTCTCCATATCCACCAAGCGGGTTAAAGCGCCGGACATTCGCCTTTCGTCCTCTCAATTTCGTAAACAACACTCCCACTACAAGATGTCAATGAGTAGGACTTCTTTAGCAGTGGTTGTATGCACGTGGCTATGTGAGGGCGTTTGAATTGGGGAAGTTAACTCTCCCCACTCTCGGCCGTACCAGAGGATTTAGGTCAATGCTATATATTATTGTTATTTATAAATAACGGAATCATATGTTGTGTATAATGACAACTAGATAGATTGAAACTGTTTAGTTAGAGTTAATTGATTCGATATTCATATGTATGCTTATGCAAATCTATTATCAGATATATTTAGAGAAAACATTATCATTCTGTTGATAGATGGATAAACTATACTCTATTAAATGATTTATAGTTGAGATAGTTAAATTTTGAGATAAACAATTAAAAAATTTCGAAGATGAAATTTTACATACGTAAATTAAGTGAAAACTATTTTTTTTAATTGGAGATAATCGATAGCAAACTTTAAACTTGGGTTCAGTAATTGTTATAAATCAAGAGTATGTGTAATCCAGAGGAATAATGATAGGTAGTAAAAATTTTGTGCTTATAATAATTGTATCAGCTAGAGACGTTTCTATACAACCACATGAAATATGCACAAGTAATATAGAGAGAAATTCAAATAAAACAGTAACATGAGTCGTGAACCTATATTTACCAATATTCATTGGTGCTTCACAAAATTGAGAAAAAGATCACAGGCAAATCTATAAAAGTTTAATTTATCAATGTACATTTTAACATTGAAGACCAGTTGCAATATTATAATTTTTATCTGTATAACGATTGACTTTGAATGGTAATTTCAAAGCATCTTGGAAAGAAAAATAGGCTTTCAAATGCTAGTGTTATTTTATTAACTTGGAAATCTACATTCAAGTAAAAACATGACATCTATTAGACGATTCGTATAGGTTTTGTTCATGATATTTTGAAAAGATTTAAGAATAATTTTCAACATATGGCTTTCAGTTATGATGCGCTTCATAGTAGGCCTGATATAACTTTTATCAAATATATGATAACTAGTTAAAAAAACAGTGGTATCATCCATGAGTTATGAGCAATATTATTACAACATTCATTTATTAGAAGAAAAGATGAATAGTGGCTAGCAGTGGAATCCAGGATGCGCGTTTCGTTATATTTGGGATTTGTCAGCTGGATGTACCTTCATTCCAGAATTGATGTTCACTCCGGAACTCGCACCCAGTAATAATGTTTGTGAATTATGGCAATATCGTGGCACTACGCACAAGATGCACATATGGTAATAAGAGACTGATCAGTAGCAGTCCTAAATATTCATGGGAAAATTCAAACAAACAATACAAAATTCATTCATTAAGTTAAAAAGTGAATCAGCTTCATGGTGATTGAACAATCCAAATAGACTAATATAAACATAGGAAACAGTAAACGAGAATTTGATCATGTTGATCTACAAAGCTGATATAAAGTAAAGTAAGAGAGTAAACGGCTCTAATTTTTTAGTAATTTGTTTAGAATTTAGACCTAATTAACCGACTATGAGTAACTAATTCTTACAACGAAAGGGAAGATTGCTTAAATCTACAGAAGGGAAAAATAGTTAAAATTTTATCATAAACTGATCGTAAATGAATAGGAAGATGTTATTTGCAAAACTGTGTCTTCAATTATCATTTACGTTTTCTTGAGTTAAAACTATATTTATACTAATTTTATGAAAGTATTTCCGGAGAAGACTTGCATATTTGTATTATCGTGAAGTTAATCAAGTCAACAATTTTTTCCATGCACTGAAATTCAGGTATATTTAATTGGGCTCTTTTAAGTCATGGTACTTTGTAGTATTGTTCTGACAACATGTGACTATAATCAGTAACAAATACATGTGTAATAATGTTATAATCTCTTTTCTAAGTTTATTAGCGGCTGCGCAACTAATTCCTACACTTATATAATACTTGAATTTGATTTAACCCTTATACCTAACTGGATAGATTTGGTTATGTGGATGATGATTTGTGAGAAGAACCTTTTAATTTAATGCAAAGATAATTGAGAGGATATACTCTTTACCATGTCAGTTATCCTACATATTCAAAGCCTAAATCTTCAAACAATTTATGAATTACGAATATATCATTACAACTAGCTTTTTAACTTACTAATAATTTAACGATTAAGACATTTAATAGTTGAATTCATGAGTCACTAGAAGTCAGACCACCATGGAAAACCTAGAAGCACTGGACGGCCGTTTCATCCTAGTGTGGGACTCCTTAGCAGTGCCCATCCACGATCCCGCCCCCCCACGAGATCCGAACCCAAGACTTATCAGTCTCGCGCGCAAGCGCTTAACCTCTAAACTACTGAGCCGGCATCCAACGATGTTAATGTCTAACTGTAACTAATCCATAAAGTTGCGCCACCGTCCACCATTATTATCATTAAGTTACCATCTCACATTTCTTCATATCCACACTTCAAGTGAAATGAATAAAAACAAAATAATTGCTTAATATTATCATTTTATTTCAATATGTATATTTCTTGAAAAATTTCGCTGATACATTGTAGATATATTCTTGACAAATTCATTTTGTATTTTCTTAATCATCATAATTTTCAACTTCATTTATCCGTATCTAAAATGAAAAGAAAGGAAGAAATGAATATATATATATATATATATATATATATATATATATATATATATATATATATATATATATATATATATATATAAGTCCTTTAAACATACTACTGTAAATAGCCAAACGAAGTTGACAAAATAATTGTATTCAGACCTCAATAAACTTGGCCTTGTGAACAATTTGTTAGTTACTATTATGCTGTAAAGTTTTTGCTAAAGTTTTATTCTGGTTTTATAATTTTTTTCGTGTGTAGCATACTGTCGTTTGAATCAAACAGAGTTATGAAGGGGTAAATTTCTAAAATATTATTAAGCATACCACTTAAAATCGTTATTCATAAGTACAATTTTCTTATATGGTTCAATTATTGAATGCTGGAGAACACAGATATGGTGTGGAGGATGCAATAAGCCGATCACTGTCCAAACGTTTCTCATAACATTATCCGACTTGGCTTTTAAAAAGAGAATGTAAAACAATTGCTAGTTCGATACAGTAGCATTTAATTAATTGTGGACACATCACTTCAAAAGATTTTCCTTTTGAAGTAATCTACAGAGTCAAAGCAGAAACGATTCGTCCAACCTCTCATCCTTCCTTGGCCCTAATTTCCTTAATGAGTATGTTTCTAGGTTGTTTTCTGCACGTTTTTCTGCACTTTTATTTGATTATTATTGGATTCTTTTTTAAAATTTATTATTTTGCAATTTTAAACTCATTTATTATAATTACCTTATACAAGTTTTCTTGATTATTATTCAGTTTAGATTATTCCGATCTTTATGTTTGTCGTTATTTCTTCATATCCGTCAATTAGATTATTAACTGACCCATAAACTGTTTTCTTCGTTACCTCTTGATTAGTGCGTAACCTCATTTGTTATTTAGTCTTGAATCCGTTTTTGTGATGTAATCTTTTCTATCTTCCTATAGACATATATTTTCCAAATAACTATATATACGAATGTACAGCTTAAGTAAATGATTTTGTCGAAAAGAGAAAAATTGTCTTCGCTGAATCCTCTTTTTCTTACTCAATGACACTATGGGTTCTTTTAATTACCTGAATTATTATTATTATTATTATTATTATTATTATTATTATTATTATTATTATCTAATTTCTCGATTGTTAAATATGACTACTTTTTTATGTTGCTCATAAAAAGCGGAATTTATTGCTGATCAAAGTTTATTCAAAACATTTACATAATATCAACAGTTGAGATCATGAGTCGTTTGAAGCTAGACCACCATGGAAAACCTGGAAGCACTGAACGGCCGTTGTTGTGGGACTCTCCCTCGTGGATGCGCAATGCTGAGGATTCCCACAACAGGACGAAACGGCCATCCAGTGCTTCCAGGTTTTCCATGGTGGTCTAGCTTCAACTGACTCATGATCTCAACTGTTGAGATTACTACAATCTCCACAAAACCCTTCTGATACTAATTTACATAATATTTTAAAGTAATTACGGAGATAGCAACTTGTATTTTTATACATTTTAACGGGTAAAGCTTGTAGGACATTTAAAGATATTTGAAATCACTGTAACTACAGAAAATCAAAATGCATCAGTTGATCGTTTAGATAGTCCGGTACGTTTGAAGTTTACGTTAAGATAACACAGTATCTAATTTTTATTGTTTAAATATCGTTGAATCCTAGTTTATAACTCATAAATAGCTTTAAAATCTATACGTAAAGCGATATGGGTCGACTGTCAAAAAAACGAGCCCGGAAAAGCCCTAATACTTCAGATAATAACAATTCTGTTATTACCTATTCCCCATGTTCTGCTACTCCTTTTGAAGCTGATAATGTTGGGATAGGTCTTACACCACATCTGATTCTGGATGACTCTGTCTCTAATTTAATAATGAGTTCCACCTCAAGATCAAAAAGTATCGATAATATTAAGAGTGAATTAAACACTATCTTTAAACAACTAAACGACATGCGTTCTAAAGTTGAGTCACTTGCTAGCTCTTTATCAAAGCATGATGACCTGGAACAAGAAATAAAGACATTATCACCCATTAAGCTGCTCCTGTCAAAAGATATCGTTCCTGCGGAACTTGATGACATCATAAAAGCAGAATCTGTTATCGACTTTATCGCTAATGAAGTTACCAAGCGAATAGTCTCTCGTAATAACGTGATTGTCTATAATATACCTGACAGAATCCCCATTAAAACTGTAAGGAATTCGATATTAAAAGCATCTAACCTTCAAGACAGTTCACGCCAATGCATTCGACTTAATAAAAAGCACCAGAAATACTCGTGCCCGGTCTTGTTCAGATTCGACTCTCATATATCGGCTGAACAGTTAAAAGAATCCGAGCGGCTAATCTGCGCGCTTACGAAATTTAGAAACGCTCGTATAGTCTCAGATAAGACCACCAATCAAAGGCTTACACAAAGAGTACCTTGAACGAAAATAAAGGTGTTGAGATCACAACAAACCACGATGCATCAGCTGGTGGATCCACTGATGCAGCTACCCTATCTCATGTTCTCCAGTACTCTGATATACCAACAAAGAGTGCTAATTTGCCTGTTATGTCTGTAGTGACATCTGATAGCCAATGTACATCTAATGACGTGACTAATCCGATATTACCTAGTTTACCATTAGAAGCCCATAAGCAAGTACTTAGTTCTAATGCTACAACTCTTAAAAACGCTATCAAGATTAAAATACCTTTGCCACGTAAGAAGAATGTAAGTACAGAACCTTCTGGTTCTAGACCCAGTATCAAAAATACTACGATGACCCTACCAAATAAAAATAAGACTGTACTTCCCGACACCATGCTTTACCTTACGAATCGTAGGGGAGGTTATAAGGGCAGACTTGGTTCAAATGTCTCACAAGATGGCCACTGCAATCATTATGTAAGGAGGCCTACTATTGGACAGACCACAATGAACCAACGCACCCTACGGTTATCCTCAAACGTTTCAAATAACATATCTGTAAGACGTAACTATTCTCAACACTTCCCCACTGGGCAAGATGGATTACTAGGTTACTCACCATCAACTCAACCCCAACTGGCAGGTGCCTGTCTTAACTGTCCGCCTAGTCAAGTTCAACAAATTACTCCACTTTATCAAAATAATGATTTTTTGGGTCTTCAGAAATCCCTGGTCCGACTAGCAATACAGTTTGTTCAAGCGATAGCCCATACGATTAGTCAAACATAATAAACCACAGTCTATGCAAATCCAAACTACATAACATCAATAGGGAAGCTCACGGTTTTTTTTACACTCCACACTCCCTTTTTAAACTTATTACTTATCAATGCACGTTCACTTCTGAACAAAATTTCAGCCTTGAGAACATTAGCTTTTCTAGCCAAACCTTCTTTCATACTTATCACTGAAACATAGTGCTCTCAAGCAGTATCTAATTCAGAACTAAATATCCAGAACTATCGACTCTATCGCTGCGACAGAGAAACTAAGCGAGGAGATGGTTGTATTATATATGCTTTGGATACCCTAACAACTAATAAAGTTGAAGATAGTATCCTGAATAGTTTACCAGACTCAGTCTGCAATCAGCCAACACCCTGAATCATAGTCTACTCCTTGGATGTATATACAGAGCTCCTGATAGTTCGAATAATGGGAATGATCTTATCATCAATGCATTCATACATGCATCTTCTCTAAACTTTAATGCTAAGGTTATCACTGGGTATTTCAATTATCCTGGGAATAACTGGAGTACCGGTAGTTGTCAGTCATGTAATTATGAGTTCTTGGCAACCATTAACATGCACTGCTGGTCACAGTGGGTTTGTGCCCCAACTAGAGGCGACAGTATACTCGATCTAATATTTAGTAGAGATGTTATCCCACTATCTGTAAAAGTATATGATGAATTTGAAAGCAGTGACCATAAGATAGTAGTTTGCGCTCTCCCTATCTATCTCTCTTATAACCGACCCATTAAAAAAACCTGTCAATATAGAGACTATAAGCATGCTGACTGGGACCTCCTACATTCACTGATTAAACTTTCAGACTGGGATAACTTTTTTTCATGTAATAGTCTCATGGATGTTATCAACGAATTCTATCTGATCATTAACTCATGTTTAGATTCCAGTGTACCTCTTAAAACGTGCAGGTTTAGTAAACCTTATGAATTATATATACCAGCTAAATATCTTAATAAACTAAAACGCCTACAGAATTGTTATTTTAAGTCAAACGACTTCACAGCAGTTGCACAAATAACAATAACTTTTAATCAAATTAGAAAGAAACATAGGTTAAAAGCCATTAATGAGGAGCTGTTAGCACTTAATACTAACTCGAAAGTACAAAACTTAACTCTCCTTTTCAATAAACACACTAAAGCAACTCAAAATGTTGATATACCGTGCATCCAGCATAATAGCACTTTTATATACGACTCTAAAACCATGGCCGACCTTTTCAGTAGTATATTCGCTAATGGTGTAGAAAACATAAGTTGCTATGCTTCAAGAGTTATGTGCGTGACTAGCAACTCAATAAAATCTATCTCCTTCACATGCATGAAAATTAATAATGCTATAAATACCCTTAGGCTTTCGAGAGATCATGGAGTAGACGGGATTTCATCCTTTCTCTACAAATATGGTGGTCCAGACATTCCACTTATTCTTCTAAAGCTGTTCTTACCCTTACTGTTGGAAACCCGCGTACATCATACCACTTTACAAATCTGGAGATAAGACTGACATGAACAATTGCCGGCCAATAAATATTACTCCAGTTATTTCTAGGATTATGTAAAAAATTATAAGTGATGAACTTTCCAACTATTTGCTTGCTGGAAAATTTATCAATGATACTCAACATGGATTTCTTAAAAATCGTTCTTGGATGACATGTCATTTTGGCTTCTTTAATTTAGTCTATTCCCTACGTAGCGAAGGATACCTAGTCTTAGTGCTATATCTAGACATTTTTAAAGCCTTTGACA